GGGGCCTGTCTGTAAGGGGAGGAGGGGGGCGGGGAGCCGCGAAACCTCGAACTTAAAACTTCCACTCACTATTTTCTTCGAAAATATATGTGAGTTCCAGAAAACACCGCTAAAATCGATATTTTCTAGAAACAATGCCTGTACATCATTAATGTATAACGGATACAGATCGATATATGAGCAGTTCCCTACTATTACACAGCAGCAAAAACAACGATCACAGTTTTAACAAAGTTGAAGAAACAAATGGAGAAGTCAATGGTGTATCAAGTGTGAAAACACGAACAGTCCTTCCCGTTGATGAGAAATTTTCGTTTTTCTACGTCAAACATTCCCAACAATAGAACATAAACCTTTCAAACTTGCCAGCCGATACTGAACTTCGTCATACTTCCCTTAGCTCTAAAAGCTAAATCATAGGTCCAACAGTCATTTTAACACAATCTACATACAGTACAAAATTCTGTATACTTGTTGACATGTTCCAGTGTGCCTTTTTTTAAAAACAATTATTCAGGTGTCGATTAATTAAATCCAAGGTCTCTTAACAAGAGCAACAACTACCAATTATAGAATCTATTGCGATACCCCTTCTTGAATTCTTCCATTATTTAAACTTTCTTATTTCCACACATAGACGCTTACCACATTAAGCCTCAGTTGGAATCGAATTGGTGCTCAAGGAGCACAACTTCTTGCCAAAGATCTCGGGAAAAAACTGAGTAATATTCTCACCTTTTCTGTCTACCATTCACTGCTTGCTCAAAATAGACACTCAGCACACTGGAACTTAGTGGGAATGCAGTAGGTGATGAAGGAGTGCAACATCGTGTTACAACTCTGATAGAAGAGCCAATGCAAATTTAACTTCTTTTGATCAGATGGACTATTTCTAAACTGAATCTACTGATAGTAGACATGATGATATAGGTGTGTATGCGTGCTCCTTCATTTTTGTGGCAGCCCTATACCGATTGTTATCGCTGTTTACAAGCTATATTGTAGAACAATCTGAATTGTGCTGTTTGTACAATTACGTTGTTCTTTGATCTTTTATTTTCTTTGCTTTCCTGTAATTTGACTTGAAATCGGAATAGGTTATTACCTTCTCACTGAGAATCAACAGTTTTAGTAGAATATGCAATCTCAAGTCAACCCGAACGCTATTGGTACGCGTATGGTACAACACGCCTCGTACGCGTACGAACGTCACGCAAAATGCGCGTACCGAGCGTGACGAACACGCGTCCCTCACGCGTACCAAATAGTGTAGTAACGCACTTTAGTAATTTTCCTATTGGTTCTTTAAATGAATTAGGTAGTATCGACCAATTCCTCTGTAGTGATACTAACTACTACACGATGCATTCTTTTTTTTATTTCTTTTTTTATTTTGTTTTATTTTATTGAAAGACTTTGCTCTCAATAACAAAAAAACTATTTCTCACACACAAAAAAAGTAAAATACAAGAAACACTTAAATTACAATAAAAAAATAAAGCATTGACTTAAAAATACACGAACGTGTTTTTACAAAAAAATACAACGAATTTAAAACATTAAACTGAATAACTGTCAGAAGAAATACAGCTTAATTTTATAAAAAAACACAAAAACAAAATAATTATAAAAAAAATAAAATAATAATAAAAAAATCGCCTAAAAGTCAGTTTGAGAGACGCATCATTGTTTTCGTTTTGGATTATTCGCTCTCCGGTTTTTTATTAAATTATCCTTGAAATATCAGGAGAGACGAAATCTAAAAATTAATCTAAAAAAAATATTTATTTCTATTAAAATTATGCTGCAAACCGCTAAATATATACATGAAAAATGACAAAGTACAACTCAAACAATAAGCTTTGTCTATTCTACCATTATCTGATTACCTAGCCCCTATACTGAGGACTCGTTAGGCGTACGCGTTACGTACATCTCGACACGCGTTGTACACGTACACACATGTGACGAGACGCGTACCAAGCGCACAAAGCGTGTCGTACGCGCATGGATAGCGTTCGGGTTGACTTGGGATAATTATCGTTGCAAACAAATATATTTTGATCATGGGTGTGGGGTGTGGGTGAGTGTGACCTCCGTGCCTCCTCGTATCAACACCCACACTCTCGTGCTATTAAAATAAGCTGTATACTATCAATCGATAAAGTCAATGGCATGAATAAATTTCGGTAACTCCCATTACATAACATTGTCTTATAAAAACATAACACGATCTTTACTGACCATCGTAAATATATTCTTTTTGCAACAATTTCTCTCGTCAAAATTCAAGGTTTTTTTCTATGATAAATGTTGACAACAATCTAAATATTTCTCTCCTTTTGATTCAATACAGAAAAATTTTCAACTAGTTGTGCAATAACGAATAGTTCCTTGATCATGTCACTTGATGAATAATGACGAGAAACAAATTTCGTTCTTTTACCATGCGTTAGTTGTAAAAGCGATGAAAAATAAAAATAACAAAATGACATTTCTTTAAAGTTTAACGACGCTAAGAGGTGAGCAGCAACAGCTACTATGATGATTATTCGAATCATATATTTAATTAGGAAAAATAGCGAGTATATAAAACTTTTGCAAGATGCTTTATCCATTAGAAATATGTTCAGAAGATCTTGATTGTTTGAATAAATGTGTCCTAAATGTTAAGAGAACATATATTAGGCATCATCAATCTTCCTTTTTTTGATTGTGAAAAACTTAAGAACGCAATCTTTATAATGATTTCATCCTTCCTTTTCTGTCTACGTACATAGATGTCAATAGATACCTTCTAAAGAAGCTACTTAAATTGTGCCTTGTCATACTATATATTTTCTACTTGTTGACATTTTTCATTGAGCTACTTTCTTGAAGTTCTCGCCCTCAATCAAATCTTTAGGCAGTTTACTACTTGGTCTTTCAAAGATTTTATAGTTCTTTCTGAAGTACGAGGATGGGTACCGAATTCTCACGTGACATTTAATATGGGAGACGACAGATCTTGTACTGTTTATTAGAAAAGGGATTTGGACTAATACGAAATATCTATTGAAAATGCTTTTGTTATTCAAATAATTATTTGATGTATTTAAATTTTGTAGAAGACTTCGCTTATTCGAAAGAACCATATTTACACAGTGAAATAAATCAAGCGAACAATTTTTAAGATAACACTTATCTTAAAACAGAACCGAAAATGGTGAAACATGACTTCATTTGTTTATTGGGTAATGATGGTTGTGGCAAAACAAGTATTTGTGAATTGATTAACTCAAAAAAAGATGATAATAATAATAAAATTATTGCTGTAGAACGTAGTAATGGACTGGGTGTAGAATATGGAATTGATCCAAGTATTGTCGATAAATTGACATTAGAATATATTTTTGATGAAGAATATTTTAATAAAATCACATTACCAGATCAAACAATAAATGGAGAAAAAATTTATTGGATTATCTTAGATTGTGAAGTTGATATAATTTTAAAACGAATTCAATCACGATCTAAAAGTAACGTATGGGAAACACGGAAAGCTTTAAATTATTTTCAACAACGTTTTCGTCATTTAAGTGCTTATTTTGGAATACCATTTATTGATACAACGCAACAAACGTTGGAACAAGTTTATCATAACGTAACTAATATTATTCGAAATTATTCAGAATTTTATCGACATTATCGTCAAATGAATGCTCAAATACTAACTTATGATTTGATTCAACAATGTGATGTTGAAAACAAGCTTTATAACGTGGTGGATATATATGATTTTGATAAAATAACAAATTTACCTGAATATGCTCAGGAATTTGATAATGTTGATAAGCGACAATTATACATAAGATGGTATGTCAACAATAATTCGCCAGAGATAGATCAACATAGAAACATTATCAAAATTGGAGATTATGAATTACCAATAACAGGCATAATACTTAGACTTGTTAATGAAGGTGAATCAAAAAGAATTTACACAGATATCAGTGGGAATCCATTTACGAAGAATTTAGCATTTATTCTTTTAAAATCTACCATTTATTCGCATTCAATGCAAATCACTGGAGAAATTAACAATTTAAGTAAGATTTTGTACTTTATATTATTGCCTAATGAGATGGAAAAGATCTTTTTATGAATTTTAACACAGTGGTACTATTAATGTCATACTACTTTTTAAAATTTCCAAGGTGCTTTGATATCAGTCAAGTCGAAATTTACCCAAGACATCGAGGTAACTTAATATTTTAACAAAGTATCAAACCCTATTCTGCATGACGATAGCAAACATTTTTTCAAAATAGTATAAACGAAATAGAATTCTAAGATGTTCCTTAAAAAAATTGAAATTGCCTCAAGCATCGTGTCTTATTTTAGTGTTAGACATCAAAAACATTAAAAATAAAGTTCATGTGTTGAAATGAGTTTACCGAAATCAGGTCTTTGTCAACAATTTTACCAGAAATGGAACTTTATCATTCAACTATTATATTTGAGTTTCACGAATTTTATGCCAATTTGAGACTAATGAAAATTTGAACATAATCTATCGTTTTAAATTATCCAATTTAAAAAACAATTCGAAGCATTTTGGCATAACGCCTGGAAATAGGGATGCACCAGTGCACTGGTAAGGAAGGTAAGTTACCATTACCAGTTACGTGGTGACATAACTGGTAACTGACCTCTTCTCGATAAAACTCTACAGAAGAGCATGAGAAAATTTCATTAGCTTAAAAAATGAATTCGAAATTGAAAGTTTATTTGTTAACCTCACCGTTTGTCTGCCATAACATGCCTAGACCAGCGCATCGGTTCGTCGGTGGGTCGGTGAGACTGATGTTCCATCACCATTGGTACATTCCTACATGGAAATGGGTTATTAATATACTGTCTATTTAGTACATTGACTTGTTGAAATATTTCAGGTTCAGTTCGTGCATGTGGTTCACAATTATTTTTGGAAATGATGTGG